CCCCTGCCTTTTTCTGTTTGTAAGTGGAAGCTGTGGTCGCAAGTAGAAGCAAAATTTTCCGACCAGAGCTGTTCTTAACTCAAATTGGTTGTAAGTAGGGATGTTCATAAGTGGAGGCACCTCACAGACTATGATTGCAAAGGAAAGGAATTAAAGTGGTGTCAAACTTACTTAACTGCTTAGCTTAACTGTTTAACTGTCAACACACAATACACATACAAAGGTGCACAGAGTAGTATTTGAGAATCAAACTCAAACTGTGTGCCTTCTTCCTCATTTCCAGCTTTCAGATCTCGAATAGATCAGGCAGAAAAACATAAGTAGATGAGTTTGTGTTAAACGTGGTGGTGCTGTGGGTTAAACCACAGAAGCCTCTGTGCTGCAAGGTCAGAAGACCAGCAGTCGTAAGATTGAATCTACGTGATGGAGTGAGCTCCCGTTGCTTGTCCCAGCTCCTGCCAACCTAGTGGTTCAAAAACATGCAAATGCAAGTAGATAAATAGGCACCACCTCAGTGGGAAGGTAACGGCGTTCCCTGTCTAGTTGCGCTGGCCACGTGACCATGGAAACTATGGTCAAGCATTGGCTCTACGGCTTGGAAACAGGGATGAGCACCGCGCCCTGGAGTCAGACACGACTGGACTAAATATTAAGGGGAACCTTTACCTTTACCTAAATATAGCTGCTTATCTGAATTGAGTTTGTGGTATTGTAAAGAAGGATTGGCCCCTTGCCATTTCCCTGATAACAACTTGGATGTAGTAATTCAGATTGGTAAAGATGTGTGACACATTATCTTAGTCTAAAAATGCCAGTAGATAAGATAGTGGACCTCTCTTCCTAGTGTATAGCTTCACCCCGCTCCACTGCAGACTAGATATCGGTTGTAGCTAGTCCCTGCTTTGCTGTTACATGCTGAATTATATCGCCAGTTAAAGCAGGTAGGTAACTTTAACTAAGCATTCTCTCTTTGAGTATGGTGAAGTGAAAACATGTGAATGATACTGACTATTCAGATTATTTCCATTTTACATTTTAGGCTGCTAATCTGGTTTCAATTTATTTTTCTTTATTGCATTTTAGTAATAACAACCCTTATGCTTCATTTGGAGCAACGCAGGCATGGGATGAAGAGAAAAACTTGTGGAGTGCCCCCCATGACATCTCTCACACAGAAGCCGATGATGATCGCATACTGTACAACCTCATTGTGGTTAGAGATAAACTGGACAAAGATTCTGAGGTAAGCGTTTTCCTGGATGCTGGATAGCTTAGTAGTTGGAATACATAGTTTGTGGATTGCAAATCCCAGAATCCCTATATATTACAGTTGTGGAATTCCTAGAAATTGTATTCTAAAAACATAACTTTTTAAGGCTGTGGGATAAATGATGAAAGCAAGGCTCAGTAGGGGAAGAGCAGAGGTGTTGTAATACTGGCTAGCTATAGTTCTAAAAGACTTTATTATCAAGCTTCTGGTTGACTTTTTCTACTGTTGCTAGTTATTTTTGTTCAAAAATAAAAAGATGGTTGACTTCTAAAATTTTAATTTGCATGTATATTTCTTTGGCAATAATAAAACTCAAATAATTAAATCGTTAAGAAAAAAAGTCCTCAGAAAGTTTACATTTGATAAGTGTTTCTTTCCAACACCATCTCAGACCCTCCTTCCTTGAGAGTTTGAGATGGTGCTGGAATTAGAAAAACTGTAATCGGATGAGAAAATCATCTCAGCAGTTTGCTTTTTATTTGAAATGTTTATTAGCTTCTTTTCTGTCAGAACTGATTTACAAGGAGGCACACAGGGATCTCCTCCCCCGAGTAAAACATTCCAAATGACACAGTAACAAAGCAAAAGAAATAGTGCTATGCTACATTAATCTGCTTGTTTTTTAAACACCAAGGTACTTATCCTAAGAAAACTTTCAGGAAGAAGCAAAAATTGTATGCTCCCTCTTCTTACAGGTTTTATGAGAATTAAAAGTAGTTTTCAATTGATGTCTGAGAGCTTGAAAAAGTTACTTTTTTGAACTACAACTGCACATATAACATTTCTGAGCTATATGAAAAACAAGATGTCATATATTTTTTAGACACCAAAGCATGCCACTAAATGAATGTGACTGTCTGGATGGCTCAATGGTAGTGTGAGTACCCAAGTATGGATACAGAGGCTGGGAATTCAATTCCCCACTTTGGCTCCTGGGAGAAGAGCCAATCTGTCTGGCCTTGGGCAAGCTGTGCAGTTCTAGAGTACCTATCAGAAGAAGGAAATGCTAAACTACTTCTGAATACTCTCTACCTAGAAAACCCTGAAAAGGGTCACAATGAGTCAGAATCAACTTGGCAGCAGATAATTATTACAGAAAATATTTCCACTTGTATAAACATCCATGGCTCTATTCTGTTGTTCTTTAAAATGCATGGAGCCTACTTGTGTTAAGAGCAGGGTGCTAGTCCTGCACCCTCCATCCTAGTTTCCAGACCCCTGATCATCCTTGTCGCCCTCCTCCAAACTTGTTCCAATTGGTTAGCATCCTTCTTGAAGTGTGGTGTCCAGAACTGGACACAATCCTCAAGGTGAGGCCTAACCAGTGCTGAATAAAGGGGGACTAGCACCTCGCAGGATTTGGATCATCTCTTTAATCTTGGAAATGCAAGTGATTGGGGAGGGGATGTTATTATACCTGGCAGCCTATCCACATGTGCCCCCCCCATCAGAATTCTGGCTTATGTGGAAAGATTACTTGGATATGAGAGACTCTCCCTTTTCAGACAGTCACATTCCCGTGATTAAAAAGATGACAAAGAGGGGCAGAAGAAGCATACACCCCTCAGTGTATGTGGCCTGCACAAGGTACAAGCTTTTGAATGCTGTCATGTCTTAGCCTGGAGGGGTGGAACATAGAGAAGATAATGAGTGATTGATGGGCTCTTATGGAATGAAACACTGTTAAAGACTGTCACAGGTAAGACCAATTCAAGTCCTGGTTATTGTTATGATTTAGTCTTTGAAGTGAAATTACAAAATCTGCTCAGTTTGTAGTCAGATGCCAAAGAACAACTTGACTCAGTTACTATTTCCTGATAAATTACTGCAAAGACTGATCTAGAACTGTATCAAATAATAATTGTTAAGGAGTCCATCAAGAAAATCTGAAAACCAAGAAAAAGTGAAATACAGTGAAACAGTCCACTGGCAAAGTCTATAAGCAAGAGATTTGGGCGCAGGGTTCCTCAAGCAGGGAGACTTTGTAGCACATTGCAAATCAAGTTCAGTTTACTTCTGGAGGACGGAGTATCAGAGACCTGTGGGGTTTCTGCATATTTTCTTCATTTTCTTCTGAGTGAAAATGGACACCCCAAACGTAGCCGTCCCATAGGTAGCTAAGTGGGAATTTTAAGGGTTGCAACAGGGGAGAGTCAAACATTAGGTTGAACGTGTTTTCTCTAGCTATGGGTGGCAGTCTCCCCTCCTTCTACAGGAAGCATGCTTAAGTATCACTGTCCGAAAGCTGGTTGGAGTAAGGATGCTTGTTGCCTTTCCTCTGCCTGCTGAGAGGAAATAGGTGGCTTCACAAAGATACAGTGAGTACCACTGGCAGAGTGATGATGGCCGAACATGTCATGGTAAAAGTGGTGGGAAGGCTTGGAAACCCTTTACTGTCTTCATGAATAACAATTACTTGCCATAAAGTTGATTCTGATCCCTGGCAACCCTTTCCAGGGTTTTCTAGGTACAGAGTACTCAGAAGGGGTTCACCATTCCCTTCTTTCGACTGCACCCTGTGCAGCTTGCCCAAGAGGACAAGCTGGCTCTTCTCCCAGCAGCCATAGTGAGGGATTGAACTCCCAAGCCTTCAAATTAAGCTGAACAGAGCTGTACTTATTTACCAGTGTATAAATGGAGCATAAATGTAATAAAACAGCATGTACTCTTATTAGGCAAGCAGATGAACATCATTTGTTGCTGTCCCAAAGCTGCAGGTCTCTTGCTTGTCTGTCTCCTGAGGTCAGGCTGGAAGATAATGACTTGCTAAGATCATTAGGTTGAAAACAGAACAGGGATTTGCACCTGAATTTCTTGTATCCAAACCCCTTCACTTTGAGCACAGCATTGCATTTTGTGACAGAGGTAACATTTTGACAGCAGCATCTGGATTATGCATGCACAAATCCAGGGCAATAGCTTTTCTGTTTTCTTGGAGAGTGACATAATCAGGAAGCTTGTTTTGACACTCTTTGTTAAGTTTGCCTTTATGCATTATTTTAATCAGGGCATTACCTTAAATTGATAGCAACGTTTCCTGTGAACTGAAATCTCAGTTATGCTTCTCAGGCTGGGTTAAGAAAGAGGGGAGACGTTAATTTAAAGGAAGCCTTAATCTGTACTCACAGATTTGCTTTTTGACGAGTTGAAGGATAAACTTTATTTCTGGTGGTTGGTTAATTTTATTAAAGAAGAGGTTTGACAGCTGTTGTTTGCACAGAGTATTTCAACTAAATCTCTTGCTCTTCTTTCAAAACTGAGCCCTTCTGCTTCCATAAAATGATGCAAGAGGCAAATCATGATGTTGTAAGGAACAAACAATTATAATGTCACATCTCATAGATCTGGAATCTCTATGGTTTGTCTACATGTAGAAGCAAGACTCACAGTTGTTCAAGCCTGTTTCTCAGTTAGTAGACAAACCCTTGAATTTGTGCAGCTGACTTTTAGAGCTGGGATAGGCATAATGCAGTCCATGGGTTGCCTGTGGCCCTGTAGAGGCTCACAGGCACACACACACACCCCTGCCCCCAGCACTCTGGCTCTCTCTAGGAAACCCATACCCTGATTATTATTTGTTTTTTAAAAAATCACTTGGAGTCCACTTGGGCTGCCTCTTAGGGAGCATATGTGAGTGGGTGGGGCAAATTTGTCCTGTTTGGGTTTCCCCACCACCCTGGTCACCATTTCCAGCTTTACATTTGAAAATATTGCCACTAGAGGTTACAAGGGAGCCTTTTCAATTTTTTAAAACTTGAAGAAACTATTTGGGGAGTGTGGGAGTAAATGTAGCCCTCCAGTGTTCAAGATGAAGCTGTGTGGCCTCCAGACCTCTGGAAGCTGCCCTCCTCTATATTAGTCAGATCATCCCTGGGGTACAGACAGTGTATACTGAAATCTATCATCTGAGAGAGAGAGTAGGGGGGTAGGAGGAGAGTGAGGGCAACCTTTGGCCTGAGTGGTACAATGGATTGGCCTGAATCCATTTGCTAGTCTCCGCTAGAGTAGATCCACTGAATCAATGCAATTTACATAAGTGTTGACTTATATTTCAGCAATTGATTCAGGGGTTCTTCCCTAGCTCAGATTAACAAGTGCATTTAGGTTATTCAATTTTCTCACCAGCTATTAGTGCACAAGAAGAAAGAAATTTGAGACCTGTTTGTTGAAGGGCAACTCACCATTCTTCTTTATTAAAGGGATGTGGGGGCAGGGGTGTGTGTGGAGAAAGCAACTTTCCCCTTATCCTCTTCATCAGTGTTAAGTTCTGCTCCAACAGAAGGGCTTCCACAAAAATGTAGTAGAAAGTCTCTTTCTCCATTTTTTTAAAAAGGGAAATACTATTTTTTTCTAGAGAGTAATATGAAAGCTAGGATAATATAAGAGCCTCAGCTTTTATCAGCACAACACCAAATTCACCATAAATGGCTTATAATGTAACAAAGGCTGGACTGAAACTAGTCTGCACATAAACTGTTCTGCGTGCTTTCTAATGAATCCAAATGAATCATGGGCTCTGGAACTCTTGTGGCAGAATCCTCAGATTAGTTGAAGCAGATTTCTTCCCTTTCAAACCAGGTTGTTTTTACTGGTTCATTTACAATGAACCCATAACTAAATGCCACGATCGTAACAGTTTCCACTTTCAACTCACTCCCCTATCTGTCCTACTTAGTTTAGTCCTATGTGTAGCTACCATGACTCCCACTTTGAAAAGGAAGGTGAGATATTTATAAATCAATAAGCAAATATTCTCCAGGCCACTCCATTCCAACCACCACAGCAAGGCTAATAATGGAACATGTAATTCTAGAGCTCTCCCTTTATGCACGCCCATGATGATTGGAAAATACTTCCCAAGTATTTACAAAGTAAAACATATAGTGTTGACTTATTGACTTGCCTGAATAATCCAAATATCTTTTAAAAATGTTATTGTAATAGATGGGAAAGCTATTTCTTCTGACAGTTAT